ACTTGAACCACAGTCAACTACGTGGGAGTCATGTTCAACTACATGGGAGTTCAGTGACGTAACCATCTGCTGGTCCATAGTTTTAAGGTTTTTGTCAAAGGGCATGCACGTAAGCTCGCCCGAGAAAGAGAGTGAGAAATCACCCCCTGGTGGGGATGGTCATGCCACAATTCCTTCTCTATTCTCCTCCTGGGATTTTGGGCATACTTGGTGTGATTATCAAGCCACTGGGTCCAGGACTGGAACTGCAGCTGGACATGTAGGAGTCCAGTGCCTTAACCACTACACCACCTGCTGGTCCCATGTTTGTTTAGATTTTTGACAAAGGGTGCATGTGCATGCCAGAGAGAAAGAAGGAAAGTGAGAAATCACTCCCCAGGGGGAGGCCAAGCCACAATCCCTTCTTCACTCTCCTCTCAGCATTTTGGGCACATGCGCCCAGAATGTATTTCAAGCCACCAGGTCCAGGACCTGAATTCCGAAGTTGGCTATGTGGAATCCAGCACTTTAACCACCACATCACCTGCTGGCCTGAGGGAAGGTGTTTCCATCTGTGGGCGGGCTGGATAGACTTTAAGAATTCCAGATCCCCTTGGCATTAAATGAGAAACTGCATTAATGAGTGCTCTTTTTTATTTCCTGCTATGACAGTCCACATCTGTCATCAAATCAGCAAAGCAGTCCATGAGCCTAACGTGCCTAAGAACAGCTAGTCTAGGGAAAAGCCCTGGCACCTGTTGGCAGGAGTGACGTGGGCAATGGGGCTGATGACGAGGGAGAAGAAAGGGTCTTCAGGCTGAGTGAGGTACGGAAGTCCTGTTCAGCCTTTGATTCAGCCACCTGTTCGGCGTCAGGCATAGAATCTAATGAGAGACGTGGGTTGGAAAGACACACACGAAGATGAACTTAGTAACTTCGGCAGGTACAGCCTTAATGTGAATCTTGAGACTTGGGTTTGTAAAGTTTGGGAATAGAGAGAAAAGATTTCAGGTCAGAAATCCTGGGTTCTCTTTTAGCCTTTACTATTTTCCAGAACAATCTTTTATATAAAGCTTGTTTATATACTCTATAAAAAGGGTTTAACAACTCCTGTCACTCTCAATTCTTTTAGGCTTACTCTGAGCATCAAATCAAACAATGGAACCGAAACTCCTCCCTTTCTGGCTATGACCCCACACGGGGTGCTTTCTCTGGGTCTCAGTTTCCCCACCTGTTAAGTGGGAACAATTTCTGCCTGATGATGTCTATAATCCAATTATTCATCAAGTTTAAATGAAAGCTATTTGAAGACTCCATTGTATATTTAAACAACTATATTTTTAGAGGCTTTTGCTTTAGGGCATGTGCATTCACCAGAGAGAGAGTGAGACTGAGACAGTGAGAGGGAGGGAAAGCAAGAAATCACCCCCCAGGGGGGATGGCCACACCACAATCCCTTCACCTCCATTCTCCTCCCAGGATCTTGGACATGCACCTGGCATGATTTTCAACCACTGGGTCTGGGACTTGAACCAGAGTCAGCCATGTGGAAATCCAGTGACATAACTACTATGCCATCTGCTGGCCCCCATTATTATTATTTTTAAGGGCAAACTCTTTTTTTTAGAGGTTTTTGCTATAGGGCACGTGTGCTCACCAGAAAGAAGGAGAGAGACAGAGAGAGAAAGCAAGAAATCACCCCCAGGGGGCATGGCCACGCCGCAATCCCTTCTCCTCTCGGGATCTTGGGCAAGCACGTACACGTGCCCGGTGTGAGTTTAAGCCACCAAGACCAGGACTCAAACCACAGTCAACTACATGGGAGTCCAGTGACATAGCCTTTATACCTGGTTCCTTAAGGGCAAACTTCTACAAGCCTGACCACACCTAATCCAAACCACTCAACTGGTTGATCTCTTTGGTTTATATCCACCCTTTCCCCCAAGAAGTGTTCCAATAACAAGAGTCCATATGAATAAGTTAGTAAAAATAAATTCAAAACAGCACAGAAGGGCCAGGAGTTGGTGCAGTGGTGACAACTGGACCCATGGCAGGTCCTGGGTTCATGTCCTGAGCCTTCCCTGTGTAAGCCAAGCATGCATGTGTGCGCATGATCCAGGCTGGCTGAGACTGGGGATGGATGGTGGCATGAGGACCGTGTTAGGGGTACCTGTCTCTGTCTCTCCCCCTCTTTCATGGAAGAAATAAATAAGCATAACTTTGAAAATATATTTAAAAATTTTTTAAAAAAAGAAAGCTACATGGAACTGACTGAGGAATTTCTTGGGAATAGAACACTTAAACCCCAACTCTGCTGGTTCCCCATTCTCCAACTCCTAATCCCTAGGCTAGGTTTATGAGAGTTTATGAGGCCACCAAGAGGTAACCAGATCTGTTCATCAACCAGTCTTGCCCATGCACAAAAGCAGGGACTTTTAAGACTCAGAAATGGCAAACGCTTTCCTCTCCCGGAAAACGACCCTGAAACCAGACAGAGTCGTTTGCTCCTTAACCAACTTAATCAAGTCGTTCATCTTTCCTCTTCCTTCCCCACCCAATTTCTGAAGCATTCTGGAGTTTCATGCAGTTATTTTGAGACCGATTTCCTAAGAAGGGATAGTAATAGAATCTCCAGTGGGGCCAGAGAGGCAGTATTCTCCAGGGTTTGCTATAGGAAGCAAATCCCTTCTTTACAAAACATCCCTACCCTGGAAACAGAGGGAATCAGTTAACATTTCATAAAGCTTAATAAAATTATCGTTTCTTTGCAGAGTACAACTGCTATCACTTCTGTTGGGTCATCGGAAAAGTCATGATGCATTTTTCTGTGCAAAAATGCATCATGACTTTTCCAACAGCCCAATAGTACTCTACATATTTCACTCTGACCCCGTGCAATAGTCAGTGCAAGTATATCAGCAGCCCATGTGGTAGCTGAGGAGACGGCTTTAATGCTCCAGCCCAAGGGATCTATTTTTAACCAAAGTGAGACTAGAAGGAAGGTCTACCGGGTCCAAATTCCAGGATGGTATTCTCCTGGGGTTTGGGGTATACCACATGCATTGGTCTTGCCTCCCTTCTAGCCCCAAAGCCACAGGTTGACTATCCTGTGATGCTCTGTAAAGCAAGTGCCAAACGACCAGCTTCTGACAAGTACTCAGCGTCCAGCCTGAGTGGGGAAGGTAGTGGCTAACTTCTAGAAGCTGCAGCTGGAGAGCCTGTGGAGGGGTGGTGCTAGGGCACCACGTGGCTCCCTTTTAACACAGGGGTGACTGGGAGTGGCCACTGAAGGCCTTAAACTGGGGAGGTCTAAGATGGCTTTCGAACCAGTCTATGTGGGAGCAGGAAAATGGACCTGTGAAAGCGTCAGGAAAGGCCAGACCTGGTCTTAGAGGTCTAGCCTCCTGGGGAAGAGGAGGCCCATTCAGGTTGGGAGTCCCAGCTACCTTGCTGCTCTTCTTTCCAGCCTGCCGCACAGACCTGAGGGGCTGGGCAGGCCAAGCAGCTGCCCCATGAGAGCCGACACGTCCAGCTGCAGGGTCCCCAGCCTGGTGCTCAATCACTCTGCATTATTAATAGGCGATGACTAACGGGCTGCTGCTGCCGCAGAGCCAGGACTGGGCAGGCATGAGGGAATCCCAGGGGATCGCGCACAGCAGGGCCTGCTGGCACACGCTTGGAGGTGAGGCAAGGCGAGGCAAGGAGCAAAGGGCCAACCCCAGCTCCTTCCCTGTTCCTGTCTCTCATGGCACCTAAGCTGAAGGGCCAGCCCCACAGTCCACCTCCACACGGAGTCCTCGCCAGGCTTAAACCCTAGTCATGCAGCCCTGGTTCCCACCAGCGTTTACCCATGTAGAGTCACCAGCAGTCTCACAAACACAGTACAGTTTCCTGCTAACACCCCCTAAATGTCACACCAACATTTACACACAGTCACACCCACACACCAACACACACCAGCTGCATTTCCACAGACACCCACACCAGCACTCACCAGGACTGAGCCCAACCTAAACAGAGGCTTGGCGACAGACAAGGACAACCAGCACTGGCCCACCCCACCACCACCTCCTCTCACTCCCCTCAACAGGGAAGGAAACTAACCCCTGCCAGACGCCATGCCCAAGAGGCAGGGAGCACGGGGGATGGGCGAAGGGAAGGAAGACAGTGTGAAACACAGTGTTAGTCAGAGCAACAGAGCAGCCGGGGGAACTGGACGCTATCCCTGGTGGGGAGAAAAGACCATTCATGCCATGCAGAATGTAGGGGAGACGGAATCAGGAACCCTCAAGGCCGAGAAGCGAAGGAGAGGATATGACCTTTCCCCTGGTAGCCAGCATGGGGCAGCCCCCAAACTGGTTTGAACTGGTGATCCCAAGATGTCTGAATTGGTCCCAGCAACTCTGCATCTCCCAGGGCCATCCTCCCACCCCAGGGAGCCTGCCCAGCTGGCTGCCACTGGAAGCCTCATCCCCAGTCCCCTTCCCCAACTTGAGGGACCCCATCCGGGAGCTGATAGTGAGCAGAGCGTAGCATGTCATGGGATGGTGTTTTCCATGGATTTTCAGGAGACCAAAAAAGAAACCAAATCAAAGGGGAAAAAAAGAAACAAGGGAAGGGGGAAAAAGAATAAAATAAAGCAATAGAAATAAGCAGCCTGGCATCGGGGCTGGTCTAACCAGAGCCGATGAACATGGGGCCTGCCCCCAGGTCTCTCTGGCCAGGAATCTGAATTCAGGGGTCAGGGTTTAGGGGAGCGACAGGCCAAATTCCTTGATTTCCATTTGTCTTTTGGATTTGAGTTTGGGCCAAAAAAGAAAGAAAAGGGCAAGAGGGAAATAAAAGAGAAGCAAAATCTAAAGATTGTCCAGGACGCAAAAAACAATTGGAAGAGCAAAACAACCAAAACCAAACGGGGAGAGGAAACAAAAGAGGGAGAATCGAACAGTTAAAAAAACCCACGGCAAACCAAACGGTAAGACAATTAGAGTGATATCTACCAGATAATGCAGTTTGTTTACCATAGCGTGTCCAATCCCTGCGTGCTTCACCGGAGATATGGGGGGAGGGGGGAGGGGAGTGTCAAAAAAAAAAAAACAACAACAACAACAAAGACAACAACAAAAGAACAGAACGAAAAGAAAAGAAAAATAAAATGACCAACTGTGAAACTCAAGGAAGGAGGAAAAAATATATATCCATATATATTTGGTTGTTTTTCAAGCCCTCCCACTTTAGGTTCCGCAGACGTATTTTGTTAAAAGGAAATTAAATTATAAACAGGAGGGAGAAATAAAACACACACAAAAATTAAATCCCTTCTTCTCCCAATCCATCCCACCATCCTTCCTCTGGATTCCTCTTCCCCCCATTCCCTCCCTGAAGAGCCAGCTGCAGAGAAGGGGAACAGTTAGAGACCTTGGTTAGTAGAGAAGAAAACAACAAAAGAACTGGACCAAGAAAGCAAAGACTTAAAGATGGCCGACATTCCGCAGATGAGACAGAAAGGTTAGTTCGGTTTTTCACTCATACCTCGCCCGACCTGTCCCTGCCCATCCCTTGGTCCCCTGGGTTATAAGCGTGTTAGTAACACACACAGAGTCGGCAACGGGGTTTTCCAACAGAGGGTGAGAGAGGGAAGGCAGGGGATTAAGAAGCAGACCCAATTATGCGGTATTAGTAAATCCTATTGGCTGAAATGTTAGGGAGTTGAGGGGAAGGAAGGGAGGGGAACAGGGGTGTGAGAAGGGATGGGCTATTGATTCAAATAATGGGCTAATGGGTTTGCTGGCCAACTGGTCAACCAGATGAACTGAGAACTGGCTAAAGAGCGAGATGGTGTTGGCCAACTGGGTGACCAGTGGCCAAGTTATGTTGATGATAACTGGTTGGGGATAGGCCAGCTGGTTGTCAGGCTGGGAGAAGAGTGGGCAAAATCCCTAGAGGATCAAAGAACTGGCAAGAATGAGAGGCAATTTCATTTGGAGGCAAAAGGAAGGCATTCCCAAGGAGCATCGGAAGGGACATGAGTGTCTGATTTTCCTGGGGATGGAGGATAGGCAAATCTAGGGAGTCATTGAGGGGAAGGGCAGCTCCTCGTTCTCTCTCTCTCACACACACCTTTTCTATCTCTTTCTCTTTTTCCTGCTTCTCAACTTTGAGAAAGGAAGAGAGAGTGAGTCACCACCAGAACTAGGGAAAGGGAACCTCACCCTCCATGGGCTGGCAGAGGGTTCACACTCACATTGTATCTAATCATCCAAAACCCTCCTCCCTCTCCTCCCGCTCTCCCACCCATAGCTGACTCCTGCCTGTTCGCCCTGATTTTTTCACAACCCACATTTCCCAAAAAGTTTTCCAGTTTCTTCAATCACCCCACCCACATTCTCTTACTCTCCTCTGGACAGATGTCCCTCCCAGAATTGTCTGTCACCACCCCTACAAGTTCTTGGTATTGAAAAGACTATCCCAGGAGTCCAGTCTCCTTCCATGTATACCTATCAACCCTTGAGCTTCACTCCCCACAGCCAATACTAGAAATTCACTCTCTCTACACCCATAAAAAGCAACACAGAGGCCCATCTACTTCTAAACTCTCTTACTCCTACCTAAGCTAGAAAGCAGCTTCTTCTACCCCAGTGTCTAGTTCCCACCCCCATGTGGTTCTAAGTTCACCTTTATTCTCATTCCCAAAGGCAGCAATAACCACCATTTCAAAATTACCCTGTGCTTTGAAGGAGGTGTCAAAGAGACTGAGGCAACTTTATTTAAGAGTATCAGGGAGAGAGGGACATTATTGTTCAGTGCTCATTATATACTAAACTGCACACTGGAGACAGCCATTGTGAGAAGGAGAGGGATTTTAGGGACAGAGCCATAGTTAAGAGAGTTCTAACCAGTGGGCACAGGACTAATTCAGTAAGACAATTAATAAGGGCCTTGTATAATTAAAAATAACAGAATCCAATATTTAGCAGCTAGAAGATGTGCTGAATAACCAATATTAATTATTAGTGATGCGGAAGCAGTTTACATAGCAAAAGAGTCTAATTGCAGGTGCAGTGATTGGAGCACGGGGACAAGTGATAAGAGGATTAGTACTGCCAGCTGGTAGCACTGTCAGGAAATGAAGAGGCCAACTAGTCAGAACAAGAAACAATTAGCTTCAGGGCGGTTAAACCAATTGCACCCAAATAGTAAGAGCTGTCTGGCATCACTGCACTAGTCAAATAAGGCAAGGGGGAAAAGGCACTGGAGGTTAAAACCGTACTACTCTTTTCAAATTAGAACTGTTTGTGGGGAATACAATAAGAAAAAGCAGGTTCCAATGTTCATGAATAAGATTCCATTTTTAACAAGTAGAACAGCAAATTAGGAAGCAGAATTGAAAATAAAATGTAAAAAAAAAGGAGAATTGAGAGGGAAGAAGTGTGAGTTCAAAGCCTAGGCCTCCCACTAATTTGTCAAGAAAGGCAGGCTTTCTCTGAAAAATAGCAGGGTTAGAATGGAAGAGATAGGGCCCCTCTAGACCTAGGGATGAGGATCCAGAATCCAGTCCACAGTGGTCATGCACAGGGGGCAATTGCGGTCAAAAAGTAGAATGGAACTTCCATTGGGACCCATCCTGGTGGTCTGTGAACAACATAGGGAAGAGTACCCAGCAGTCCAGGCCTTCCCAGAGACCAGAATCTGGAGAGCTGAGGCTAAAGAATGAGCGATGAAGGCTTTGTCCCACTCCTAGAGACAGACAGAGCTCCTTGGAGCCCAGGAGCACAGGAATAATAACACATGATGAGTGAGGAGGGCATTAAAGTCATCACGAGGAGACATCGGCCATTCTATCAAGTGGCAACTTACCATGACCCAGGACTTCTGGGCTACACTATATCCCGCTGTCACCCTGAACTCTTGAGTGTAGCTCCAGCCCCCTCAAGAAAGCCAGGAAAAGGATTATATGCACAAATTATAAAAATCTGCGATGCAGGCAATCTCTACAGAGCTTGAGCCAAAGAAGCTTGGGTCAAAGAAAAGAGGGATCCAATCCACTCAAAGATAAAAGGAACCTATTTTTTCAGAGATATGAGCAGAACAATCAAATGGTTTCAAGGTCTGATCCAAGAATGACAGAACCACAAGACCAACTACAGCCTCCTCTGCATTTTTCACCAGTGACAACCACCCACCCCCATCCCATAAGGCAGGGAAATGGAGTGCTTTTGAAGTCAGATAGACTTTCAATCTCACTGCTTTCCCAACTAGATAATCTTGAGCAAGTTCTTTAACCTGAGTCTATTTATTCATCAGTAAAATGGGGATAATTTTCTCCTACCTCACAAGATTGATAGAGAAAATTAGGTGAGCTACCTCTTTGAACTCAGGAGCTAACAGAAAGGAACTGTTCCAGTGTCATCTGAGAAGTGCTGTGACAGAGGGGTTATATCCTGAGAAAATTCAGGGAAAGGAGCAAGAGAGACTTTCTTCTGGTCTTGTAAAGTGGATCGGAGTTTTTTCCAGGACAAGAGGTAGTTCAATGCTCATATGAAGCAGCTAAATTTCCTACTTTAGGACATGAGTCTTCATGTCCAAAGTCTCAAATGGCTTCAAAAAAGAAACCAAATGAGTCAGAAAAAAAAAAAAAGCTAAAAATATTCAAAAGTTGCTAGTATTTTTCCCTTTCTCTTTCTTTTTTCTTTTTTTTCTTCTTTTGACATCAGAGAGATGACTTTTATTATTAAAGGAGAGGAAAGGAAAAACAGAACTCCCAAGAAGGGAGGAGCCCCAGAAAATGGGTTGTCCAAAAGTTGCTAGTATTAAGCCCTCAATTTGCTTACCACCCAGAAGTAGAGATAAGGAATGAATACAAATATTGACAACAAAGGTAGAATGTGATCAGACTAGAATGTAAGTTTCCAAGGGCTCAAAGAATATAGCAAAAAAGGGACCCTAGCTAAGGGGATGGATCAAGGAAGGCTTTAGGGATAAGGAGGCATTTAAGCAGGGCCTAAAGGATTGAAAAAAAACACAACTAATGATAGCAATAGCAGCAAGCCCTTCGAGGCTCAGATCATGCCAGTTATTGTGCTAAATGATTTAAGGCACAACCTCAACTAGTCACTGAAGGGCTTGTTCTCACTTTGCCAATGAGAAGCTAAAGCTCAAGGAGGTCATGTAACTTACCTGAAGTCACTCAAACAATTAGTAGCGGAGCTGGAATTTGAACTCTGCACGTCTGACTCAAAACTCTGGCTCTAGAATTTTACCAGGCAAAAAGGAGGGTGAATGGCGGTGTCCATCCGAGAGGCTGGGAAGAAGGGGAGGAGAGGAGCCCTAGACACCTGATGGACTCCATTCTTGGGAGAATCCTTAAACGACACTACCTGGGGACTCGGCTCATGTGGGACTCTATCCTTAGAGACTGCATCCATGAGGACTCTAGCCTTGGGAAACTCCATCCCTTGGGGACATCTTCCTTGGAGGAATTCATCTTTGGGGAGTCTATTCTTAGGGAACTCTATGCTTGGGGACTCTATATTTGGGTGCTCCATCCTCGGAGGACTCCATCCTGAGGGAGTCCATCCTTGGGGACTCCATCCTTGTTGGACTTCATCTTTGGGCAGTCTATTCTTAGAGGACTCTATGCTTGGGGACTCTAGCTTTGGGTACTCCATCCTTAGGGGACTCCATCCTTGGAAGACTTCATCTTTGGAGATTCCATCCTTGGGGACTCCATCTTAGAGGACGTTATCATTGGGGCCCAGGGGAACTCCTGAAAGTCTCTGCACTGAGGAGAGCTGGTCAGGAGGAAGTGCCATGTGATATTTTGGTAGCCAGCTTGTCTTCCAAATTTGGTGCTGGCTAATGATAAAATGAGTTTGCACACTCTGCTTGCATGGCAGTGGGAGGCAGCTGGGAAGCATACTGGGTATGAGAGGAGAGTGGGCCCAGGATTAAAAATAGGCCTCAGGAAAGCCGCAGAGGTAATCATTCCTGCCAAGATCCCCCAGGAGACAGCACCAGTCATAGTGGCCTCAGGGGTGGATTGGAAAAGAGAGGAAGGAGACAGTGAGGTGCTGTCTCATCGGGTCCCTTCTGTTCCTAACTGCTATGTTCTAAGAGTTTCTAGATGATTCCAAGGACAATGAACAAGTCTGGGGGCAAAGAGGGGAAAATTCTGCCTCCTTCCAATCTTTGGAGCTGGCCTTTGACCCACTCCCATAGCTGCAAAGGGAAGATAAACCCCTCCGTGCTGGTTCTGGGGCAGGTCCTTCCCAGGAGGCCATCACCCTGACCATTCTAATCACATGGGGAATAAAACATGGAAGCCATATTATTCTTACTTTTTGGTTGTCTACCCTGTTAAGCTGAAGGTGAATAGCATTGGGTACAATACCTCTCTGTTCTAACTCCTGTCCCACAAAAGCTGAGAGAGGCAGGATACATGTTCAAACCAACTCACCCAACTGTTCCCTCAGATCACATAACGATTCATCTGATTCCATAAATGAATCCCAGGATGTCATCCTGACACTACATAAACCTGCTTGAGCAGGCGCTCTCTGCACCGGCACTGCTGACATCTGGGGTCAGTTAATTCCTTGTTCTGAGGGCTATCCCGTGAACTGTGGGATGTTTAGCATCATCCTGACCTCCACACATAAGACACCCAAATGTCTCCTGGGGACACAATGGAATTAATTGACACTCTTCTAGAAACAGTAAATTTCTCTTTGAAGCCCTGATAAACAGACCCCAGAAGGGTCTAGCAAAGATGAACTTGGCCACAGGGCAGGCCTTGAGTGAGGGCAGTGAATCCAGAGTGTGGCCTTGACTTCTCTCAATGGCCGTGATGATCAACAGGGAACTGCTCATATACAGTTTCTGCACCCCACATTTATGACTGGACTGGATAAATCCCCCCAGAATCCCTTTTTGAAGAGGGTGCTCCATCATCGTCTTTAAGCAGCCTCTGGGACCCTGAGGACCTGCTTCTGGGTCAGCATCTGGGAGGAAACAGCAGGAAGTGATTTCCTTCAGTTACCAGCTTGAACCTGTGACTCTGTGAGTCCTAAGAAGAGGTGATCATGGGTCACTGTCTACACCCAGTGCTGCTGAGACCAGGTGTCATCTCCCCTAGCCACTCTCCCCTCTCTTTGGCATCTCCTGAGTTCCTAGACATCTGTCTCTGCTGCTCACTGGGCACTCACATGGCTGTGTTCACCGTTAGCAGACTCATCCAGCCTCCTCCAGAGATGGAATCCTGGGAGGGCAGGAACCATGTCCTTTCTCCCTATCGTACCCAGTATGGATGCACCCCAACCCATGGATGGGGACCCTGGGCCTGTGGGATCTTGCCAAAGGCAGTACCAGGTGATAGCACTGGTCCTAGAGACAATAAGCAAGCAAGAAGCACCAGAGGCAACTCCCCTGGCCCCCAATAAACTGCATGTGGCACCTGAGCATATCACAAATGTACACCATGCTCAGGCGTGCTCAGACAGTGGTGACAAGGCGGGACAGCCCTCTGACCGGGTAAGAGGATGATATGACACGCATTGAGAGGAAGAGTGACTCCACTGAGCATGTGACTCTTCGGAGCGTGGGGGGCACTAAGAATAGGTGCAGCGGGAGGGGCCTGACGGCAACAGGTAGCAGCAGGCTTGGGGAAGGGTGGCAGGATTAGTCACAGCATCCTCATAGCAAGGAGAGCAGCGTCAAATGAGGACTCCCCGTCAGATCACCACTTGGTGTGTTAAACAAGAACAGGTAAGGCAGCTGGGAAGTTCGCCAGATTCCCCAGTCCCACTGATGAGCCTTTCAGTGGGAGCAAGGGAAGGAGGAAGAGAGGAGGGTGGCAAAGACAATGGTGAAGAGGCGCGCCAACGGCAGGTCAGCCACCACACAGCTGGAACCACGAAGAGCAGAGGCGATAACCAGCAAGGGAATGCTACAAAGCCTTCAAGGGCAGGACTGTTTGCTTTTCCTGGTTGCATCCAGACCTCAAGAGATGGCGCTGGAAGAGTTTCCCCGTGGCTAGCTGTGAGAAAGAAGGCCCAGCAAACGCCCCAGCGCTGGGATCCAGGCGGCAGGGAGAAGGGTCGGAAGGTGGAGAAGGAACTACCACACAACACACAGTGGCCTCTCCTGCATGGAGGAAAAAGTCAGACCTGGATCCTGCTGGAGGCAGGAACTTCTCAGAGCTAGAAAGAAACTGTGGGGGGCTCCTATCATGCAAAGTCTGGCCAGAGAGAGGGCCTCACCTGCAATAGTCCCTCAGGCTGGTGAGAGGGGGAGAGAACCACGCCTGGGAGCACCTGCTCAGTGGGCGCGTCTGGGAGCAGGAGAGAGCGGACACTGCAGAGAAAGATCCTGCCCTGCCTCCAGGGGCCAGACCCGAAGGGCCTCCTGTGAGCCCTTTACAGGCTAGCCCAAGCTCCAGAGGAAGGCATACAACAAGCCATGACCTATTCAAGAGTCTAGCTCCTTCGAACGGAGAGGGAGAGAGAAGGGCACGCCCTCCCCAGAGAAGCAGGGCCGAGCACCCTCTCTGGCTCTGTTCTCTCTCACCCACCTGCTGTGCCTCCTCTGATTCCAGCCTCACTCTGATTCCAGCCCTGCCTCTGCTGGGGGCAGACCGTGTCCTACCCCCACACATAACTCCGGCTTTTCCTTCGTGCCCTGCTGTCCTCATGTCAGGATACCTGCCTGCCAGACCACAGCCTGCCCGCTCCGTGGGGCCTCCTCCCCACCCATTCAGGCTCCAGTTCACTCCCCTCATCTCCTCAATCACCCTCCTGCCAGGTAACCTGATTTTTCAGCCCCAACCCCAGAAAGCCCAGCTGCTCCTACCAATCTGAGCCTGGCCTTCATGTGCCCTCAGGCTCCTGTCCGCAAGCAGCTCTAGAGAGTTCCCTGACCTCTGAAGCCTGCTGTCCCAGCCCACTGCAACTGCGCTCGAGGACCCTGTTTTCTCACACCACGCCTCACTGCCCAGCCCTGCTCCCTCCCACCACACACCTGGGCAGCCCTCTCTCACGACTCCATTATGCCCTAGATATGGCTGACCTCTGCCCTTCCTCTTGCCCCCCCTACCTGGCGCAGGTTTCTGGTGACCCGGACGTCGTGCCAGGCGTTGTCGTTGAACTTGCCGTTGACGGGTTCCACGAGGGCCTCAAAGGCACCAGAGCCCAGGTTGATGACCAGCCAGACGGCCCCAGACTTGAGGGACAGGTTGACGTAGTCGGCCGACTTGCCAGTGTGCAGCATCAGCCCGTTGCGCTGCAGGGTGCGGAAGGCCAGCGTGATCTCGTCCGTGCTGCTCTGGATCGGGTTGTGTGACAGGTCATAGCAGAAGAACTCATTGCCTTTGAAGGTGGCCACAAACTCCTCCTTGCCTGGACGCCGCAGTTTGGGAGAGGGGAGAAGGCTGAGTCGGGCAGGGTCCGCCAGAGCCGCCCTCTTGCCCTCTAGCAGCCCTTACACCAGCAGCCCTACAGTCACATCCCCAAGCTTTAGGCCCCTGCCCTGCCCCGTTGCCTGTCAGCCCTCCTCTCTAGACCCTGCCGTCTCCGCTGTCAGAAGTCAACCTCCCCCACGTCCATTTCCAAGCCAAGAGCCTGCTAAGTGGCTCTCGCGCTGACAGCTGACAATTAGGCTGCCACAGGGCCCGGCGAAGCTGATGGTCCTCGCTGTCTCCTCCCCACTGACCCCTCCCACTGGCCACTCCCCATAATGGAGGGATGTGGAAGAGAAACCAGAGGCTCTACCTGGCTGTTCCCTGGGGCTTTCTCCCCTGTGGCTGAGCACCAAGGGTCTCCTGGGTGCGGCCAACCTCCCTCTCCTGCCCCTTCTCTAATGGCAGCCATTCTCAGTGTCTTGGGACAAATTTCAGCCCCCCCGACG